CTAGGTCTAATGAGTCCCTTATCCAAACTGTCCTGAACAAATCCCTCAATATCTTTCAATCTATTGTGGGGTACCCGGCCTGGCCTCTGTGACACCGGTGTTGAATCGCCAGTTGGAATACAGTGTTCGATTACATTTGTATGGCCTAATTCCCCATTTATCGAGAACACATCAGAATTCTTCTTTATGACTTTGTAGAGTCTCTTTTGTTGATCTGAACTTACATCAGAATCATTCGACAATTCTCTCGCCATCTTGTCAATCTTCTCTCCCGTAGATATCTCTGTTGTACTTGCTTTCTCAGGAATGCTCGCAATAACAGGGTTATCAATCAAGTCAGTAGAAAATGTCCCAACAACTGTACCAGCTGTTATCTGAACACTATCATTGTGTGGGTTAGTCATGTGCAACAATATGGTACCATTATCTCTCACCTTCTCTAACACTCTGCCACATCCAATTCCAAATCGTTCTGACCCTCGATATCCAGCCGATTCAACAAGTCCAATATTTCCAGACATTGCTTCTCCATTTGCAACAGTGCCTCTCACAACTACAAACTGATGAGGGGAAAATGTCACATTACTTGTAGCGTAAATCAAGTTGACTTGAGGAGATGATGAACATTTCTCTGATACATTTTACTGATTCGACGAGGTCTCTCACTTCACAACAGTCATCACCCAGAGTATATTTCAGTCCTAGTTTAGATATGATATCCATACCAAGAATAGCTGGGTAAGCCGATTTCCTCACTACTGTAAACCGGTGTGAAGCCATATAATTTGACCCAATCTTGCAGTCTGTGGTTAAATCATACACAACAGATATTCTCTCCCCATCTACAGTTTGTGGTGAAAAATGAGGTTTGTCACGTTCAATCTTTGAATAATCAGATATATCTTCAGATATTGTAGCAGATACAGTTCTTTCCCAGTTATTTGTTGGCGAAAATTCATTAGCCAGAAATGTTCGCCCATCATTTCTAGCCTCTAGTAGTTTTCCTGAAATCTTGTTTCACCAATCGACCTGCCTGACAATCTGCACATATTTGCTCTGTGTCCAAAAGGACCACACTTGTGACATTGCCCATTGAATTTCTTGAAACATTCCTTAGCAATATGACCCAATCTGCCACATGAATAACATTTTACTTCCCTTTTCTTTGACTCTGCTGACTTTACAACTGCAGCTACAGTTTCTGACAATGACTGTTGAGCTAACTTCAACTCTTCTAATTTAGCAACAATAGATTGATCATCCTCATGTGACATGTCACTACCTGCTAACATTCCAACTGTTGCACTCTTACTCTGACCACATTCTACATATATCTGATTTGCCTTCTTTACAACATCATCCAATGAGGCCTCTTCGGCTACTAGCCAAGACAGTTTGTCTTTTATATTTGCATTCAAGGCTTTTCGAAAATAAGCCAAAACCAGACATTCTTGGTCAACAGATCTAGTTATATCTGGGAATGCTTTTTGACACAATGATTCTAGAGCAAATCTCAAAGCAATCGGAGACTCACTTTCCTTCTGAAGCCTGTTTGTCAACTCCAATTGAAACTGTTGCACAGATTGTCCCTTGCTAAATCTCTTCAATAACGCCCCTTTCGCTTCTGTATAGCATTCTCGATGAGCATCAGGTAGACTGATGAAGAATTCCCTTGCATCGCCCTTCAAAGATAGGTGTAGACTAGCGGCCATTTTCCTGTCATCATTCATATCTTTCACGATGAAAAACGCCTCAAGCTGCTTCAAATGACTTTTAATATCGCTACTATCACCACTGTCCCACTGAGAAACATCTATTCCTGCCATTTTATCTTCTTTTTAACCGCTGCCACCAATGTAAACAGCACACAATGGGCGAGTATAAAAAACATCTTGTTTATTTCAATTCAGACTAAAAACTAACCGTAATACATCCGTTACTCCCTTGACAACCATACATCAATATCCTAGCAATATTACCTAACATGTTCTATCACCTACCCTAAAATCTATCTCTTAGCAACTTCCGAATCCATTCATTCATCTAACTTCTATTTACATTTGATACACTTCCGGTAAATACTCTTCCGGTAATCAGAGTTACTTCCCTTAGCCCATTCGCACAATGCTAACACTATGATGTAATAGAGGTAGTATTCTTAGAATTATTAACAATGATAAATTATTTGTGACAATGCATTGAAATTGACAATGCAATATTAGTGAATGGTCATATCTTTGATTGGGGTGGCGTGTTGTCAGATGTTCTGTCAGGACGACTGGACATGAGACTGGAGGACTTCATTCATGAGGGCTTTGTGGAAGCCTACTTTTGTTGTGAGTTTTTACTCATTTTTAAGTGAGTACCACCATGACTATGTACACTGAGGGAGAACATCTCAACACATAATCAGAGGTAGAAACCATCAGTTAGATCCAGCTGCTGCAAGAAAAATACTAATCCTTCCAATTTCCAACTAAGGACCATATGAAAACTTGGCATTAACACTTTATTCCTGTCATGGTTACATTTTATAAGACTTCACGTAATGTCAAACTAAATATCAATTTAATATACTTTGTTAAACTGTATCTGGTACAGATGTATTGAATTCCTAGAAGATTTGAGAAATTTAATAAATAGGTGTCAGTCTTCTGTAACCTTAGGTTCCGGGTACTTTACCCTTCTACCTATGGTCACTTCTACTTATCAACTACTCCTTGGTTCTAGGGATGATGTAGCTCTCGTGAAAATCACAAGTCAGATGGTTTGCTCCAGCCTCTTTTTATTTATGATAGAATTAATCATAAATATGTACACATGGTCCTCAGATTAGTTCTTGTTGTTGCCTGATATAAATACAACACATACCTAGATGATGGTTGAAGAGCCTGATGGTTTTTCTGATGAACGTTACCTCTACTTCTTTTCTGACTCGGGATCCCAAAACCACAGTGAACCTTTCTGTTCAGCTGTCTCCTCCCGACTCCCCGCACCACTCTCGGACAACTCACTAAATACTATTCATGATAATTTTTGCTCCTCACACCGAAATAGTATTTGACGTCATGTGAAATGAGTCCTAACGCTCACCTCCATATGAACCCCAATTTCCGTTCCAATCAGTTCTTCTATCAAGCCCTTCTAAACCAAACCTTCAGCTAATTTCCTAACTCATTGGTCAACCGATAAACTCTTAATAACATACTCATAATTCAACCTCTTTATGACAAAAATCCAACACTCTGTCAGACTGGAAAGCGTCTAAAAGATGCTTAATCATGTTAATCAGACATTCCAATCAAGCAGTAGTAGTGAGAAATATTCGATCATTTCAAGACTGACAGTTTGTTCCATCCATTCATTTCCCCTCTGATACTTATATTGCAAGACCAGATTCTGCTAATTTCATTGTACTAATGAAAATGTTATCTCTATCACTAAGAGAAGCAAAATCAATAATCATTTGCCCTGGGGGTTATGCCCTCACCCTGTACAGTCACTTCTCTCATATGCATCCATATTTTACCTAAAAGCTCAATTTAGTAAAACTACATTTAAGTTAATATAAAAAACCTTTTTCCAAAATACCCTGGTTATACTTCTCACATAAACAATGGGATAGTATTGGCCAATTGCACTAGTGCTGACTAACTGATATTAAACCACATCAATCTAATCTGTGAGGTCAAGGTTTTATTACTTATTTACCTGATTAATAGTTGTACAAAATCATCACAAAACCATGGAGCAGGCCAACCTGAATCCAAATTTTCTTAATATGTGTGTGCTAAAAGGTTTAACTATTCAAGCATGTGGTCTTCAGATTGTTCTTGGATGTTATTGGTGTTGCATGGTCAAGTTCATACACAAGTTATAACAATTTAAGTATGGTCAAGGGGAGGTAATCCAATGGCAAAATCATGATGATGATGAATAGACAATACTGTCAATACCATATGACCTTGTTATCATGGAATAGTTTAGCATTGTGGTCCCTACAAGTAATTCTGCTAGATTTGGCAATGACATGTTATGATCACCTTAACTACAGTGTATTTGAAAACAAAATACCGTATTCGACGCAATAAGCACCCAGGGCGCTCTTAAAATTAGAAATAAGGGGCTCTTATTAGAATATTATTTTGGTGAAAAACAAGTTCAAAGATTGTACATTTCGTGATTTATGCTGACAGCCTAAAATGTTTATATACAACAGATATATTTTTCCAGTATTTAATTGCCCATAATTAAGGGTGTATGTAACACACGAGTGCGTATTATACACGAATAAGTCATGTGTACATTGACCAATCGGAAGGGGTGCTAATTGGGATTGTTCACCAGCCAATATATCAGCAAATATCGCCGTGGGCGCTTATTAGAGCGGGGCGCTTAATACGTCGAATACAGTATTGCCATATCACCTCCCCAATTCATCTGCCTCCAGTGGTGAGATGTTTTGGAAAGAAGTGACATTTTTCCTGCCTTTTTGCGCAGAAGAGCTGAAGAGCTACATGTGCTATTAGGGGAACAACTAGTTGTGTGTAGTTGACAGTGAAGAGGACTTCTGTTGAAAATCTGAAGATTTAGTTATAGTGTGTCTGCAGCCAAAATACAGGATTTATAGCTATGATGTAATAGAGGTAAAGGATTCACAAGAATTATATTGTTCCAAAAATAAACTGACTATGTATCTTCTATTTTCACATATTCTTAAAAAAACAAACAAATAGAGTGATTATATATACATAGAATAAATCATGAGGTGTAATTGCTTGGTTGGTTTGTTGTTTTACTCCGCACTCAGCAATATTCCAGCTATATGACAGCGGTCTGTAAATAATCGAGTCTTGACCAGACAATCCAGTGACTGATATCATGAGCATCGATCCATGCAATTGGGGTTGATGACAAGCTTCAACCAAGCATGAGCTATGAGGAATGGCAGATTATGTGCTCTGCACCCTTTGCAGAATTGATACTGAAAAACACTCAGGTATATTACCAAATACACATTTGTTTATTCGGAAATTTGTTTATCCAGTCTGACTCACTCATATGACCAGGGTGTCTCTCTTGTCAGAATGAGGAACACTGTTGAGTGATGTTAGGCTCCTGATAAGAGAGTTTATGTCTATCTCTGGCCACTGACACAAAATTACTACTTATTATCATATACTTGCTTGTGAAGCATAACAATAGAACAATAACATAATAGCCCCAAAAAGTGATAAGTGTAAGTCTACTGTTACTGAATGACATTAAAGGATATGTTTAAGGAGCAACCTGTGGACTAGGCCCAGGGCAGTTGGCATCAAATGTCCTCCAAAAACAGTTTGTCTATATGCTTATATATTACTTAGTATATCAAAATAGCAGTTAATGACTAATCTAATTACTTAGAAATACTGTTTCAGTTTCAATCAAGGCACTAATAACAACATGAAAATCTTGACTGGAAATAGTTGCCAGACCATGGAGCTTGGTCTCCCTGTACATAATGAACTATTCTGCTCCCATATCCCTCTAGTTCAGGGCTGAAAAGAATTGTAAGTACATATTGCATATCAAGATGTATGTGAATGCCATTTTATTAGACCAACTTTTTTTCGACATATTTCAGCAATAGAGATATGAAGATATTCTTGGTTCGCAGGCATAAAGCATGTAAAACTGAAAATTCATGTTGTAAGACATTGTATATCCTGCACCAACTTTCAAATTTGATTGTTCAAGAAGCAATTGTTTTCAGCCTTGTAATATAACATGGTAATCATTTTTTTTCCTTTTATGTCAATAATTAGTATTAAGAGAATTCTAGGGGAAAAAGAGTGCCAAGTGCCAAAGTACAGTCAGAAGGAGGTGAATACAGTCGTGCCCTGCTTATACGGACTTCAGATATCCGGAAACCTCGGTTCCCGGGCGATTTTCATTCAAAACGAAATAATTACTAGATAAATTTACCCGTATATATGGAAATTCAGTTTCCGGAACCGGACGGTCATTTTCATACACAAAACACTGAAATGCACAGATAATTGTCTCACTTATCCGGACAATACACTTCCGCTGGTGGTATTCCTTCCGCTGGTGGTAATCCTTTGATTCGTGAGAAGTCAATTAACCAAGTGACACATTATTGTTTAAAATTCAAACCTCAAAATGTGGTAAAATTCAAACTTCCATGACAGACTTTTTGAAACGTGTATGAATAAAGATTGAGTGGATGTATCTGTTCTGTCATCTGTCATGAGTTGCATAATTGAAGGGAAGTAACTCTTCCAGTAAGAAGCTGGTTTCAGTTATACGGAAATTCGTTTATACGGATGAATTGTGAAATGACGCAAGTGTCCTTATAAACGAGGCACGACTGTATAGTGAAATGTATGCCCATCAAGAACCATCGACTGCTGCAGGGCTGTGAAATGACAGTAGTACCTCAAAGTAATATTCTTTAACTTCGAAGAACTTCATTATAGTAACAACACTCATGTAAAGTGTCACTTAATTTGATCAAGTTTCTGACAAATAACATTGAATGTTCACAACATGCTGAATACAGATGATGGTTACTGAAATGTATGGTTATATACATCCACACAAACTCTCACCTCCATCTCTGCAATAATGTAAACACATTAACAAATCTGGGGCCTATAATGATGCTGAACATTCTGTAGTCTCAGTTTCATTCCTTCAGTTTGGAGAAGAATGTTAGGTTGAGTGATTGGCTTGTTGGAGAGGGCGCTTCATATAGTTTCTTTTGTTAAAAAATACAAAATGTCAACTGCAACTCACGATCAAGACGTTTTGATTGAAATGAATGTCTGACTTGATCTGTTTTCCATCAAATATATGCTCAGGAGTACACTTAGAAGTTGAGATGAAGAGTTACCGTAATCGTGATCATTTAAATCAGATGACACTACTCTATTTATAGTACAAGAAACTGTAACTGAGGTAGTTGATGAATAACAATATGTACACATGTGGTAAAGATTATCAACTTACGACTTTCATATGCCAGGGTGAGGTTTTATATATGAAGTTGTTATATATGACTCATCACCTATCCATTGACACAATCTCCTTTTAGAGCATAGCAAGACTCTCGTCCAGTGGGTGTTTGTCATTTGCGCCACATACGGCACAATCATAAGCCAATAGACTTTACAAAATAGTCCCACTCTAGCTGCATCTATCCCAAGGTTTTGATGCTGGGAGTGTAAAGTGCTGTTTGCACAATTGTTCACTTTATACACAGACATGCTAAACTTGGGACTTGAATATTGGGTTGAGCTCTAAAAAGACTTGTAACAGTCCTCATCCTTTGTTCACACATATGTACCTTTATATCCCACTAAAATGTACTGTCACAAGACCTCTATTACTTGCCAATGAGATAATAGCCAGAAGAAATAGTTTAGTGGATATCCTATCCCAGTCGCAAGAAAGACATGCTATCTGCACACATCCTGTCTGAATATAATGACAATCTGTTATGAAGTTCATGTCTTCTATCTTGAACTGTCAGTGAGGTTGTGGGACATGTCCATCAACATAGAAGTTCCGAGTGGCTTTAGGCAGTGTCAACTCTAGACCCTCCATCTCTTTGCTGAGGATAATCTGACAACCTGAAATACCAATACATATATATTTTATCTCACATGAACAATTAGAAAGGTGTTTGCGTTAGATGCAAAACACAGAAGCAGCCCAATCCCCACCTTTTCGTGAATACCCCAAAACCTTCAAGCAAGAAACATGTATCAATTGAAAAATACATGTCCAATTTAGCACAACTTTGAAACAGCATGTACTATGCCTCTAACTACCTTAATAACAAAGTTATAACTTATATAAGCTCTTCCAGTCTAATGACGTGAAGGTGAAATGGAGTATAACGTCGCATCCAAGATTATTGCACTTATTGGTATATAGTGACGTGTTTGCACGTGTGTATGTGGCTGCTTGTACTAGCAGACTTTATAATGCTAGCCCACTGAGATACCATGCCACAGTTTAACATGAATACCCCACTCAAACACAGTATACTGACTCTGAATGCCAAGCAGGGTAACAACAAGTACCACCTTGTAATGCCTTTTGGTATGATGCGTCAGGGAACCGGATCCCGAACACCAGCTCTCTGGGCAGATGCCCTGCGAATAGACCATGGGGGTGGTCTCTTTCGGTTTAGGAAAACATACCAAATGCAGAGCAACGTTTAAACAGAGTCTGAATTATATTATTCCTAAGTTTTTCAATGTTTAAACAACTTTGACATTTGATGTGACCTTGACACATGGCAAGTATAGAATATAGTGCTTATGTGATGACAATAATCATTGGAAAATTTTGTCTTATCATGTATTTAAATCAAGTTTTCCCTGTTTTGACAATAAGGTTTCTGTTGACCTTAACCTTCATTGGATTTTATCAATAATCTTCCCAAAATAAGACCCAACCCTAGAGATCATGTACATAAATTTCATCAAATTCCAATCATAAGTTATCAAGATATTGTGAACACTAGTTTAAAAATGAATAAGTTGCACGTTTTGTGACCATTGTCTTCAATGTCATCTAAACATTACTTCAAGTCTTTGAAAGGCATTTCAAGAGACAAGAGACAAGAAGTTTATTGTATGAAAGGTCTCCGGCCTATAAACAAATACACACAATGTATACATACTTTCAACATACATGTATGTGCATTCTAGGAGACATATGTATTTACAAGTTCTTGACGAATATTTAGTGCTTGATGGAGAAATTGAGCTAGGCTGTAGATTACATCAGAAGATTGATTAGACATAAGTGATATAAGGGATGTGGTACATTGCTGTTTAAGGTATTTAGTGGGTACAAAACGTTTTCGGATATCTTGGTAAAACTCACAGATAAAAAGTACATGAAATTCGTCCTCAACACCCATATCACATAATGGACACAAACACATAGATTTTAACATATTTTGACTTCTTCTGGTGTTTACTCTAATATCACTCAGTCCCATACGAAAACGAGTGAATGTTGAACAAAGATTTAAATTACAAAGAACACTTAAATATTTTTCAGGCTCCAGTAAGGATTTGAATGATCTATACACATCATATCTGCTATTTGCATTTAAATTAGACATCCATGTTTGATAAAAGGTATTTACAATTCTTTCTTTGAACATATTTACAAACATACAGGTGTTACCAACTCCTTGATAAATCCAAGCATAGCCAAAGCCATTTGAGAACAAAAGTACCCGAATATTTGATGCCCAAGTGTTGTAACCCAGATTATCATAGTTGTATAACACATTGTAAGCTTTCCTTGGCAGTCGCTGTTTGTGCATAGTAAGTATTTTTAGCCAATATCTGATACAACGAATATATGAATTAACGTACAAAGGATATCTACCGCACTCTCCGTAAACAATATTATTAGGGGAGTTGACACCAATCATTAAAAAATGTTTACAAGCAAGAAGATGTACTTTTTCGATTGTATTAAAATGTTTAAAACCCCATAATTCAGAGCCATACAAAAGTATTGGTTGTATCTGTGTGTCAAACAATTTAAAGAATATACTTGGGGATAAAGGCTGGAGTTTAGATAAAGTTGACAATAACATGACCATGGCTTTTTTACCCTTTACAGATAAATCCTTAACAAGATTACCCATACTTAAAGTGTTGGTAAACAGAACACCTAGGTATTTATACTTACTAACAACTTTAACTCTCGAACCCTCATATAACCATTTTTCGACTGAAGCTAATGGGCCACCTCTTCTAAAAACGACTATGTTTGTCTTTTCTAAGTTTACAGTTAACTTCCAATCATCAGTGTAATCAGTCAAAATGTTTAATTGGTTCTGAAGACCCGAGACTGAAGACCTGAGTGTGATATACGAATAACATCATCAGCAAACAATAATAAGAACAATTCTAAAATATCCGGACATAATTGGACCACGTGTTTGCAACTATTCATTATTTCTATACACAATTCGTTAATAAAGAATGAAAATAGAATGGGACTTAATACGCATCCTTGTTTTAAGCCAAGCGGACAATAAAAAAAGTCAGTGAAATCACCTTTACAGCGCACACACGCCCTGACATTAGAGTACATACTTTTAAGAATCAGGTACATTTTGCCCCGTAATCCAGCTCTTCTAAGGCACACCCACAGTTTATGAAGATTCACAGAATCAAAAGCCTTCCGGAAATCAACAAAAGCTACATACAGTTTTCTCCCACGTTTCATCAAATATTTTTCTATAATTGCATTTAATGTAAAAATATGATCTGTAGTCGAATAGTGTTTTCTAAACCCGGCCTGATATTCTGGAATTCTATCCCTCATATTGGCCCATAACGTTAGTCTGTTGTTTAATATACTCGAAAATACTTTCCCCAAAATACTGTTTAATGTTATACCTCTATAATTATCTGCATTGCTAGCATCTCCTTTCTTATGTATAGGTATAAGAATGCCCCTCGACCACGAACTTGGAAATACAGCTGAACAAAAAATCATATTAAACAATTCTGTAAGATAGGGCAAAATTATCTCCCTTGATGATTGCAGCATTTCAGCTAGAATATTATCCAATCCTGGGGATTTACGTTTTTTAAGTGACTGAATATCTGTCAGTATCTCATGACGTTGAATATCAGATTCAAGGATTTACCGATCTATTTCAGAAAAGAAATCATCTTCATTTATAGGATCATATATGTCATCAAAAAGCGTATGATCAAATACGTCATTTGTTGAAAATACTTCTTTAAAATGAATTGCCCATTCAGCTTTTGAAATGCTACAAGCAGGGATGTTTCTCATGTTAATGGATCGAACCTCTTTCCAAAATTTCTTAGCATTACCCATTGCATTACATAGCTGTCCTATTCTATTGTGTCGTATCTTGTTCTTATATAACCTGATTTCGTACTTATATCGATTTCTTTAGGAACAGTAACTCTTTCTGTTATCAGCAGACTTGTTACTTCTAAATTTCCGTAGTGCTCGCCTCGTAGCACATTTTGCCTGCATACATTCAATGCTATAACGTCTGTTAATCATGTAGCCATTCTTAGAGCATAAGGCTTTCTTCATGCAGCTGGCGGAATTCAGTAAATAGTCTACGAAGCTAGACAAAGACCTATCTATATCAACATGTAGAAGTTCTATTAATTCAGTCAGATTAAGACAGCTCTTTAAGATTATCCAAGTAACGAGATTCGTGAAAATCATTCCAAACATATTTGACCAGAGGCTGGTCACTACACTGGTCAAGACTGTTACTTGTTAGTTTTATGTGACAAGATAATTCAAGAGGAAAATGGTCAGAGACGGGGTTTTCCCCAATACATAATGAGGAAATATGATGGAAGAAATCAACTGAACAAATGAAATAATCATTAACGCTACTTCCCTGGTGGCTTACAAATGTAAATTCTCCGTGCAAATCCCCATTCATACACCCATTAACTATGCACAGATTAAAAACATTGCAAACGTTTAATAAAAGTTGACCAAATCTATTTACAACCGAGTCTACTGACGTCCTATCTGAAATAGGGACACTTTCCTCTGGAAAGGGATCACCTCTATTATTAATACTATCTGAATCATAGTCACTGAAGTTATTTTTGTTTCCACATCGGGAATTGAGGTCACCACACAGAAGAACATGACAATTAGCAATATCTGATACATGATCTATAAGAACAGAGTCTAACTGATCAAGAGCACAAACAGAGTCCTTATGTCGATAGTATGTTGACCCTTCAGGTGGTATGTAAGCACAAATCAATAAAATATCACATGTGCTGTCCAGTATACTTCGTGAGAGTCTAAAACACAAGTTGTCAACATTAACAGCTATTGGATGACATAGTCTTAGAAGTTCATGTTTTATACCGACACATACCCCGCCACAAGAACGTCCGGAGCTGGATAAACTAATTGCACTTGAATAAAATAAGCTATTCCCTGCGATCCAAAGTTCAGGTATTCTATCGACAACAAAAGTTTCAGTGAGACAGAATATATCAAAGGTCGGTAGATATGATAGGAAATCCTCATCAGAGTACTTGCTATAAAGACCGTTTACATTCCACGATAATATGCGGAACAAAGATAATACCGCATCGTCGTCACTGCATGGATTCACAGAAGCGTCCGTACAATCACCGGTGTAGTTGCTATTTGATCCATCTGAAATTTGGCCTTGGCCCCCATCCTATCTGTCACCTCTCTCACTTGATAGGGTTCTCACACCGCGTTGTTGGAGATGACGTACAGATCTGTTTCTTGCTGGTGTTGTGGGAACATCCTGACGGGCAACGGAAGGACGCGTATCAGGAACCGTCACGAGTTTCCCCTGCTTGTAATAGCCGCGGACACCAGTTCCCTCCAGTTCTTTGAGTCCTCTGCATTGTCTCATCGTCAGGTCGCTTGCGATATTGAATCCTGCTTCTTTAATTGATGGTCTTGCTTTCAATGTGTAGACTTTATCAATGGATTCCTGGAATTTCGTGATAAGAGGTCTGTGTCTAGTAGAGTCTTGACGTTTAGTCCCAAGTCACGGTGCACGGTTGATATCACACTTTTGCCACGTTTTTGTTTTCACATGTTCATTCAAGAGAGAGATAATAATATCTTTCGATTTTCCAGACATTTAATTTTCAAGCTCTGGAATTCTGTGAAAGATCACATTGTCACGTCTACTGTATGCTTCTAGTTTGTCAAGTTCATCCTCAACATTACTGTACCTGTTCTGAATACTGTCTACTTTTTCTGTCAAAGCATCGATATCGTCATACATTATGCCACTATTCTTCTTAAGTAGGTCAACATCTGTCTCTGTCGCAGTTACCCGACCTTCTAGATGCAAATATTTGTCGTTGAGTGTTCTAATTTCAGATTTCAGTTCTGCCATTTCATTACTTAATTCAGTTTTCACAATACGGAGTTCGGACAGGATGGAGTCACGTACCTGGTCGAGTGTTGTCGGCCCCGGGTTCATCTTGATGTCGCCTGAACAATTGAGCATACTGGTCACAACTTCCGCCGGAGGATGACTACTTCCCAGTGTGAACGCATCAAATGCATGGACTTGTTGGGTAGAGCGTGATGTTACACTGCACTCAAATCTGGTTATGTCATCATCACAACAGGCTTCACAAAATAAGTTCTCAGCACTGAATAATCTTGAAAATTCAAACTTTTCTTGCAGAATTTGCATAAGAGCAAACGCAGAGAGTAAGTGTGTTGTAAATAAGAATAAACATACAAAAACTCTCAGGTTTGTATCAGATCCATGGACAAACTTTGTGTACCTGTCGTGAGCGAGTTCAACTTGGCGTGTCCCTCGAGGTTGCATAAAGGTGCCGATCCGAGCTCTGTACAAAGCGATCGAGATCATAGTAATGTTTGATGGTATAAGAGTCACCTTCAGATGCAGTAAGACAAGATCAAGGCTTGTAGATGCAGAGTTATTACACAAAATACTTCACTGGATCATCGGAGCTCTGAAGAGAGCGTCCATACTCGCCAAGGGCAGATAACTATTGAAGTGATACACATAAGGAAGAGAATTTATGGGTGTCTTCACCTGATGAAGGAGTAAGCATGTACTCTGAAACATGTTCCTCATAATAAAGAAGTTGACATCCATAAATTCTCTTCCTTAAACATTACTTGTTGCAAACATAAGTCATGACATAAAGTACCACACACCCAACCACACTGATAATACTTTCTGAATGAGGGATTGACCTTCAATGTTACCTTAACATTCAACACAACCTTGACATATGACAGGTACTGAGATAGTTATTTTGAGTCTTTCATAATTGATTGGGAAATGCTTTGAGATTTTATAAGATATAAGCCATATTACATACTGTAACCTCCAGTGACCATGACATTATGAGGTCACCCACAGTTGCGATCAAGACCCTGCCCTGAAGAAGAGGTATACTAAAAATTGTCACATTGCAATCTTTAATACTCAAGTCATAATGAAAACAAGTTGTTTTGACACCAAGTTTACACAGAGTGTCCCTGAATTTCAATGTCGTCCAATCATATATCAGAAATAAAGTCAAATTAAATATGTCAAATTTATAACAGCAAATCTGGACAGAAAATCTTGCAGAAACAATAATTCATGATGCATCTGAAATGATTAAATATTGATAAAACATATAAAACACTGCATGTTTCAAATAAACATTGCCTGCAGCATGGAGAAATATCCAAGTACACAATGTACAGTGGTTAATGAAACTTACTTAATCTGGAGTTTGGCTTGAGAAACACAGCAAGATCCAGCATGTCTTCCTCTCTAGAACAGGGAAATAAAGACAGTACACAACTTGTATAGTTTAACACAGTTGTCAGAACCTTTCCGTTTCTATCAAGGTGGCCTGTAGATAAGCAAGTCTGAACAAGTAAACCAGTGTCTGAAAACATGAGCTGTGATTCCAGTGCCATCAGGGCACTATGAAAACAGCCAAGAGCGTACAAAATTATGCATGAACATTCTTGGGTTCACATCCTAATGTAAAAAGTTGAAAAATGAGGAGGTCCCAAGATTCAAATACCATAGCAGCAAACCTCATGGACTCTGGGACTCCTTTAATTTTGAACACTGCCACCTGATGCTCTCTAGTATTCCCTTAGATCCCTAAACAGTATACTAACAGTCTGGTGCAGGGCTGACAAGTGCCACAATGTCAAAATTGCCTACCTCTAACCAGATTAAAGTGCATTGTCTCCAGGTAACTGAATGTGGAACTTGAATGCATTTATGGTCCTGACATTACTTGTGGGCTGAGGAAACATATCCTAAAACCTGAAAGTCCCAATCGTCTCCCCAGTTATATACCAAAAGCTATATGAAATTACTCTTATGGCATCACATCTAGTCTGATGACATAATTTCTGGTTTGTGAAACCACATGACCAATGCAGTACAATCATAAATAAGAAAGTCCCATGCCTCTAGCTACCTAGAGAGAATGTAATGTGCACTTTTGGTTTAATGACATATCTGAATGTTGGTGAAAATACATGTCTCACGAAGTACATCTGATCTTAAAAGCAGAAAGTCCCATGCTTCAAGGTACCAAAATAAGAAAGTTTTATGTGTACTTCTGGAAAAATGACCTTGACCCTCAAGTTTATCCAATCACAAGTTTAAAACATGGGTGCCAGCTCTTAAAAGCTGGTCAATCCAACACTGGGAGTTTTTCAGTATACAAAGAAGCAGAAGTACCTAAGGAATTACCATTCCAGTGACCTTGACCTTCAATGAAGGTCACTAAAAATCACCCTACCTAAGGATATGTACTTGATTTCATCCGACTAAAGTGAATACTTATTGAGTTTTTCTTAGCACAATACATTTAGTGTATGACCTTCAGTGTTTCCAGAACATCCCCTAAGGGTTGCACAGCATATAAACCAAATACTGTAAAATTTGAAATTAACGCCAGCGTGAATTAAATGCGAAAAATGTGAGTGGTCTTTGGTCGCATTATTAAACATCGCATTATTATCAACAATAAGACATTTTGGAGCAGAAATACCAACTCAGACATATGCTGAAAACAAACAACTATGTATTCCACACCACTGTTTATTGTGCAGCACTTGTAACAAGTATATAAACAATGTCATTCAAACACTTATTACATCCTGTGAATTCAAGACAAGCGTTCTACTCACTCATGTCATCACTAATCACACCTGCAAGTCCAGACAGACGCCACCCACGCAACACGGTGTCTTTGCATCAAAGGCTGACACGAGCCAGCGCGCATGTATTGATTTAGCAGAAGTACTCCACTCAGTGCTAATAAGTGGTGCTATTTGGTGTGTGATTGGATTAATGTAAGGTTGGATTTAGGTGAGATTCTCCTGTAAACCTAACAGAGGAAATTTTCTTTAGATATAAATCCACTGATGCTTCAGAGGAGGGGGTGTCACATACATATTGAGTCACATTTTTGGCTAGGGGCCAGTGGTCGCATTCTTTTGTACACGCATTAATTTCACGATTAACAGTAAATGCATGTGCATATTTATCACACGACCACTACATGCATAAGATTTAGGTATATCTGCAGGAAATGGCATTTTGGTGAAATTGACAAACATAACATCTAAACAACCTTCACTGTACCTTTTCAGATTGCAGCCCTGCCCAAAGGAAGACATGTACCAAATGTCCTGTTTCACAGGAGAAGCACCGGCTTTTTTCAAGTAAACTAACATAGTGCCAAGGCACTATTACACACCAGGTACATTCAAATTGGGCCAAATGTTCTATGCAATAAAATCTTTTGCCAACAAGTAAGGAAAGTGTGACTGTGTAATGTGGACTGGTTGATAAGAATATCAGAGTAGCATTCTTATCATATAGTAACAAACATTCATCTATAGCATCACCAGTTAAGCAGAGTTTGTTTTCACAACATCATGGCTGTAATGTTTCTCCTTGTGGTCTCACATTGAGGGCTTTCTCCATATAGGTATATCCCCTCGAAACATCGGGATTCATTAGATACGATTATTCTTAGTCATGGTGGCAGTACATGTGGTCAGTGATGATGTGATTAACTCTGTCACAACTCGAGCTGGACTCACCCCATTTGTCAGGTGTCCTACCCATTTGCCTACGTCACATTTGGCCTACACTTTTAGAGGATTAAATTGCGGTAATTAATCGGTTGGTTGATCACTCACTAATTACCCGTCTCCCCCAGAGTGATGAAAATGAACCAGTCCAACAACAGAGAAATACAAGCTAACACAGAATCTTTTTAATTTAATTTAATCAGGATTCCTACTGCTTCTGCAAATGCCAAGGAAGATATTTCTCCTTGCTGGTGTCTGTCGCGGAGTCTGGACAGCTGACCATCGAGGTACACATATTTTCTCTTCCACGGTGGAGGCTTGGCACCATGGGCATGCTGGGCTAGATGTCTGGTGTGGCTAGCTTCCAGTGATTTTAAGACATCCAGGAAGCTGAACATTGTTGGATGGGCAGAGTTCATCTGGGCATTCAAGTGGCTGTGCCAACCTTCCAGATGATTATTAGTTCTTGGACCAACATTGTCATGGTGACTCCAGATTTCAACACCAAATCTAGCATCGTCCCCAACCCAGTTTGACACGACATAATCATTGAACAGTTGAAATGCAGGACTCTCAACCTCAGCCTGTTCTAAAGCCTCAATAGCTTCGAACCATACGTCCTGAACATCAGCGGGAGGCAAAAGAGGCAGAGCAGCAGCTCATCTCACCCACTGCTTGACGTCTGCATTCTGCTTGTAGAGTCGCACTAGTCCTAAGTCCTGCATCCAGTGGAAGTAGCATCCACGGATGTGGGTCATGGGGAACATGATCCTCGGGGCTTCAATGACTGCACTCTCAAAGTCTATTTGTATTGTCTCGGGGTCTAACTCGGCTCCAGTTATCTCTACAACCAGTGACATCAAATGTTCAAATACTCGAATGTACGTTTCTTTTTTCCAGTCTGGCATGAGACAAAACACAAGTGGGGTCATCTTTTGTCCTATAAGAGTATGGATTCTAAGAGCTGGCTCCAAAGAAGAGGGCAAGCATAAAAGGTACCATCCATATTGATCCTACTGACTAAATACACAATAGTCAAAGAAGCCAGTTATATACAATCCTTATGATCCTAAGTAATGAAACCAATAATAGTTAATCCTATTGACTAAATACACAATAGTCAAAGAAGCCATTAATATACAATCCTTATGATCCTAAGTAATGAAACCAATAATAGTTAATCCTATTGACTAAATACACAATAGTCAAAGAAGCCAGTTATATACAATCCTTATGATCCTAAGTAATGAAACCAATAATAGTTAATCCTATTGACTAAATACACAATAGTCAAAGAAAACAGTTATATACAATCCTTATGATCCTAAGTAATGAAACCAATAATAGTTATCCTATTGACATTAATCAACTTCACAGAAGAAGCCTGTGTGAAATAACAAGAGCTAATTAAGCTCAAACCAAACCATTTTTGTCAATAGGGGTGTAGGTTGTTTGTGGTAGGCCAAATTGGAAAGGTCATTTCTGTTTCTGTAGGCCATATGGGACGTAGGCCAAATGGGACGTAGGCCAATAGGGGATGCACCATTTGTCAGACACCTTAAAATCACAAATGTGATGGTTGACTTCTCCCAATGTCCAATGCATGTTACCCAAGCGGTAGGTAACCCAACGGTTACGCCAAGAGTCAACTGGTCTTTGAGCCTGCCATCTCGATAAGTCAGAAAATGTTTGGGTGTCGGCAGGTCAGACTGGCATTCAAAAGACTGTTAAAACCTTCAAGGTTGTTGTTGGTTCTGGGACTAAATGTCTCATGGTGGTTCCACATTGGTATAGTGAAGAGTGATTTATTGTGGTGGTGACAATGTAGTCATTGAAATGCTCATCAGGCAGCACATCTGGGCAGGTTTCCATAGCCTCTATCCAGGTATTTTGAACTTGAGGGATGAGAAGAAGGGACAAGGCCGTGGCACGACGAATTCACTGCTCATTCTCTGGATCATTCCAGTAGGCCTCCACTAGTACATGGGTCTGGACCTTTCTTTTCTGTACATAATGGAAAAAGCAACCCTTTACATCTGCATCAGGTAACTTGATCTGTACCGCTCGGATGGCAGCAATCTCAAAATCTGTCTGTATTTTAGCTGGAGAGAAAGGTTGACCTACAATGTGCTAAACATGTGTCTTGAGTTGACTCAGGAGACAACGATGGGCAGCAATGGTACGGCTGGACATCAGGGCATACACAAGAGGATAACATGATGATCCTACTCTGGCATGAATGATATAAAGTTGATTCCACAAATCAGGACTGGTAGTGAAAGTCCCATTCATTTAGATAACTTCTGTTGTCTGTAGAGAAAACTCAACCTTCTTGTGAGAAGCTGGGGTGAGAACTGTGGAGAACTTACAAACTTAAGTTGTTTTCATGATCAAAGCGGTTCATTAGTTAAATCTATACCGGTAGAAAATAAAACAGCGTATAATCCTATTGTATCAGAGTTAGATCAATTATTAACATTAACTTTAAAGGACTTTTATTATGTACTGTCTTCCCCCAATGTGATTTAGGTTCTAGCAGTCATCAGTTGACCGATCCAACACTAAGGCACAATCTTGTAAAATATTGGACAAAATTGAGATCCAAGATTCAAAATTTTATTACTTCTTCCCACGCCAGTGTGAATGGATGTATTTAGTAAAAGACTACAGCAAAAAAAGACAAAGGAATTACTCCTTATACAA